CACCCATTCTCTAACTGTAATTTTCACATTAATGCATATTTAAGTTTCTCATGTGCTTAGTTAATGCTACTCTACAGTTAGCAGCAACAAGCACATGATTAATATGGTGACAGAAAAATGTCTCAAATCAAGGGTGACAAAGTAATGCCCAAATAGCGCAAACAAGTTTCACTAGGTTGAAGTGGTATAATTTTCCTGAATATTTCTTTTTTCAGCTTCAAATCATTTTATGCAAGTTCAATTTGTTGCTTGAGTAACTGTATGAGAAAAATATACATTGTTTCAGGGATTTCATCTTAGACATGAGCCATTTTTCATGTGGGATACAATGGATAAGCATCTATATATGTCCACTTCAATTCTTGTGTGTGCTGAAATTAAGATTGGGAATGATGTCTGCAGGCCATATTCTTCATTATTTTATAAAAATATTGTATGAGCATTAATTGTTCCAAAAAACACAATCTTGTGTTTTCTGATTGCGACATGAATATATACAGTAGAATACATTTGTATTTTTTGTTCTTTTGTGATATTCCACATACAGTACAAAACTTGATGTTTTTCACCTTCTGCTTGATTAAAGATAACTCACTTCTTTGCATTTTCAGTTTTTCTTTTTTCGTGACAGTCAAGCTGAAGCAGCATGGTTGAGAGACCCTCAGAAATCCCAACTATTTCTGTAACACTGACAGAAGGTAAGCAAAATATATTTCATCTGCTGAGAGAATCAAACTTTTTTTTCCAAAACAGATCAGGGACCACATAAAAGGCACAATGTATCTTTCCACGGAGCCAACACTACAGATTTGGGTGTTGAAAATCATCAAATCTCGAATGGAACTACGCCAACAGAAGGAGTCAGATTGAAAAGAAGGGTTGGCCTTTTGAGTGGTGTTGCTTTGATTGTCGGAACGATGATTGGTAGGATATTTAACGAATATAATTCTTCCGAATGGAATATTTTATTGATGAGTTCATCTTTCAAACAGGCTCGGGCATCTTTGTTAGCCCAGGTCAACTCCTGAGCAGAACTGGATCAGTGTCGGTCAGTTTCATCGTCTGGGCGGCTTGTGGAATCCTTTCATTACTTGGTGAGATTCAATTTTTCGAAAGAATGCTACAGTAGTGTGTTTGATCTTCACTGAATGGAACTGAAAAATTATCAACCTAATGCCGCCATAGATATCATCAAAATTCGGAGAAAAATATACCTGCTCTGTTGCTTTGCGCATTTGAAAATTTTGTTTGTCTACCAGTTTTAATTGTACTGTACTTTGAATTTTGCGAGCATTTTGATGGATAAATATGAAGAATGCCAGCAAGCAACTGGATGTAGAATTCATTTTCGAAACTACGGGAAGAGACATCTTGAAAGTATATGGAAATTTGGTTTGATATAAATATTCTGTCGATTTTGATTTCAGTAATGCCCTCTTGGAATATTTTGTACATTTTCTGTGAAGCTAGCTTTTCCAAAAGCTTTTGTGGCATATTATGATGAATTATTATTTTCTTGGCATGCAGTGCTAAGAAAAGACGTTTTCTTAAATGATCAACCACAAGACACGAGGATCTTAACCCTCTGAACTGTACTGTCTCCTGAGCTAAAATGCCTCTCTTCCTTAATCCTACCAGGGGTTTATATACCACAGGATTGGGGGTACATTCAGAAGGGGAGTAGGACATGTGAGTGTGCAGGTATCATTTAATGATTGACACGCGCTGACAGGTATTGCGCATTTCAGGGGGTTGCCATGCGCTGGGGTTTCTATGCGTGCATTGTCAGGGGTCCGCGCATCATTAGGGTCCATGCATGTGTCTGTCAGTCTGTGTCTGTCAGTCCACATGTACTGGGAAGGACAGGGATGGAAGAATATTAATATATATTTATATATTAATCTTTTATCTCCTACTGGTGTTATGAATAAATAACACCAAGTATCTATATTTGCTTTGACAGCAAAAATTCTTGCAATATATATTGGGGAATTATTATATAATTTCCACCGACTTTTTGTTAACAACTTTTTGTTATGAAAATCACTTCATGAGTTTTACTTGAAATTGTGTATATTTTGGTACACAGTATATATCAGTACCTGAAAACCATAAATGTTTCATAGATGGAGATCATGCTTTAAAAATTTTGCATTGAGGATTTGATGGAGTCCCTTTTCTATTCTTCAGTATTTTTTCTATAGCTAACATAATAAAATTCAAACTACAATTTCATTTTAGCAGGATGCCTCAGATGATTTGGTGCATGATTCAGAATTTGAGCCATCTTGCATTAGATGACCATATTGTGCAGCAATTGCAATGCAAAATTCAATTGACCCACACAATTTAAATTTTTCCAAGAAATGCTTGGATATAGTGTTCATGGATTTACAATTCTATATGATCATGATTCCCCAATCCCAATGGCAATACATTTCAGAATTGTGCTTACTTGCAGTTACAGTTTATTCCAAACTGTTCTTTTCAATGCATCAGTGGATTAATAGAAGTGTAATATTTCCCCCTTTGTAATAACTTGGAACTGATTGTAAACACTTTTGCTCAACTCAAAAGTAGTGTTTATCCAAAATCATATGTATGATTATAGATTCCTAATGCATATTTCAAAGCACAAGATTTTTCTTTCATTCTTCAGAATGTTGTGCATTGATCATTCATGCAGGTGCCTTGGCCTATGCTGAACTGGGAGGAGTAATTCCCAGAAATGGAGGAGAGTTTGTGTATTTCCTGGACAGCATGAAAGACCTGATGTTTAAGTTTACAGCCCCGTTGGAGGGTTGACTAGCAGCTGCAGGCGCGTCCCGAGACGCGACAATTATTCTTGACGAATTTTAATCTTTGCTGGGTCTGTGTAGGAGAAAAAATTCCGCACAAAATCCCCCCCTTGTCCTTGAGGGACCCCTTTTCCGGAAGGGGTGACTCAGGACAATGCAAAAAAAAATAATAATAAAATCGCGAATTTTTTCATAGGTTCTGAAATTCTTGAATCCGTGTCCAGGGTTGAGATGAAGAGTTGACTGGTTATCCATGGGACTTCGGGTCAGATGGTTGTATTATGAGTATGTTGTAACTTGATGGGGGTACTGTCTGGGGAAAGAAAAAATGTCAGAAAAGGATACAAGACATACAGGAATGAAAGAGAAGTAGGTGTCAAGGTCTGGGGTAGCTAATCCCAAACCTTACACAGGTAGTTTTTGAGACTCTAGAAGATCTGGTACTCAGATCTAAAGTTTTGACCTTTTGAAGACCTGGTTCTCAGGTCGGGGATAAGACTTAGTCCTTTGTTGACCTGGTTCTCAGGTCGATACTTCTCCTGTAAACCTTGTAGACCTTGGTTGGGTCGAGCACCATAGCTGGTGAAGATTGTGGTGCTTCCAGGTGGAAGTAAAACTCCTTTGCTTCCAGAGAGTTAGGAACTTGGTATCTTCAGAAAAGGATAATTCACCTGAACCGTAGAAAATCTTATTTTAATGTTGCTCTATAGTAGAAGGTCGGAATGGTAAGAGATGGCTTGTCCAGTTTTGGATTTTCTTCAATAGCCTTTCCCAAATTCTTTAAAAATTGTTTTTCACTAGTTTCAGATTCTGCTTCAAGAGGTACCAGGTTTTGGACAGATTGGTTTTTTAATAAAAAGGGTTTGCATGAGCCATCAGCTTTTGATCTTGAGGTGATAACATCAGCAGCTCGTATTCTCCCATCTCTGGGGCTTTTGTAAAGTTTGACAATTTGGGCTAGCCTCCATTTTAACCTGTCAAGAGGTGAATTTTCTTTAAAGGAGGCCTTCTTAATAAAGACAATTTGATCTTCTACTGGCTCAAGTGAGGTCTCCTTTCCTCTTTGGGTTGGAAATTGCCTTAGCTCGTTAATGTATGTTTCTGAAAAGGTACTCCATATATTTCTCATTAGTTTCATACGGTATTTGGCGGCGTCAGATAGACCCTCACGGGATCCCCCAAGGAATTGTACTGGAGGTGGTCCAAATAATAAGGGATTGAAATTGGGATCAGCCTGATGTGGATTGATGAACATAGAGGGGGTAATGGGCATGGGATCATCCCAATCAGTTGAAATGTACGTTAAAGGTCTTGAGTTGATTAACCTTTCCACGTAAGATAACCCTGCCATAAGGGTATTGGTATCTTTATATGGAAGACCCTTAAATGTCCTTGCTAGGCAATCCTTGATTAAGTGCATCATTCTTTCATAGAATCCTCCCCACCAAGGGGCTCTGGAAGCGTTAAAATACCATTTGATGCCTCTTAATCTTGATTCAATTTGATGTCTTTGTGCTTGTAGGATCATGGGCCATGCTGCACAAAAGGTAGCAGCATTATCAGATATTAGGGTATGTGGTTGAACATCCCGTTTATTACAGAAGGTCTCAAAGGCATTAATAAAAGAGTCAACAGTTAAATTCATGACAGGTTCTATAGTCATTGCGCAAGAAAAGACGCAAATAGAATATTTAGTAGTATTAAGGGGTAGTAAAGGGACCTACAAAGTCAATGCCGGTTGCGGCAAAGGGAACTATCCCCTCATACCTGAAATCAGGAAGGGGTGCACCCTGTGATTTAAAGGGTTTGGCATCAAAAATATTTTTCTCGTAACTTTATAGGGAATGCGTACCCCCCCCTTTCAAGACAAGTACTTATGAGCCGGAGGATCTGTTAGTTTACAAACGGAATGTGTTTAAGAGGATGAAAATTGATCCTCATAAGTTGGAGAAATTTCCCATCTATGTACTCCCAGTGCCTGGGTGCATGGTACAAGATATGAGATACGGGACTCCAGCAAATAAGGATCCGGATCTGAAATTGAGAAATGAGGGAAAGGGACCATTTGTTCTAATCTTGGGGACATCCTTTAACGGTGCCAGGGAGGTTGGCGCCTGGGCGTAGAACCTTTTGTGACAACGTCAGGCCAGAAAAGGCATCAACGCGGCCTGCATTCAATTTTGAACATCTTTTGGAAGAAAGATGGATCAAAGTTTACCAGGTGATTTTCTGGGGAGGAATGAGACTATGTATAAGTCACAAATTTTTGAATATTTTTATTGTTTTTAGCATTCATTGAGCAGTTGGAGTGCGCTGGTGGGGTCAGGGCAGGTTGTTAGTCCAGCTGCAATTAAGATGAGGGTCTATCGTGATTTGAATTTGGATCTCTCCTTCAAATTTACCCACATTTTTGTTCAACTTGGAACAAACGACTTGACAAATTTAACAGACCCGGGAGAAAAGAAATATCCAAATTTTGGTCACTTTTGTCAGGCTTTGTATGGCTACTACAAGGAATGAAGTAAAGTCTTTGATGCGCCAGTCTTGGCTTTGGGGGCTTCTGTGCCCCTGGCATTGGGGCCTGGATGCAACACTTTTTTAACGGAGCCTATGGATTTGGATGTCCAAGGAGTCCCCCTGATCCCTCTAAGGTACAAGGGGGCCCCAATCTATGACCAGAGAAGCCAGGAGTTCCTGGGTGACTTTGTTTGGGTGGTGGGAGAATAGGGTTTAGACTTTGTCCATATCAAGAATCTTACAAAATTCTGAAAAGAGCCAGGATGTTTAATATTTGTATGATTTTGTCAGTATGTGGGTGAATGGAAATTTTGACCATTGGGATGGTTAATAAAAAGTTTTTTAAAGTCAAAAAGTCCCGTCTTCTCAGTTTTCTTCCCCTTTTCTTTTACGGCTCTGACTTCCCCCATCTCTGGGATTTATAAACAATTCCACAAAACTTGACAAGTCGTCGACTCAACTCGACAGGGTATAAGAGGGTTCATTAGCAGGGGCAGAAGGGACACTGACCCCCCCCCCCCCCCCCTCTCACCATCATTCCTAAAATAAGAATAGTTTTTGAAAGAGGATTTTCAGGTGAACTTTGAATAATTTTTGTACTTGATTCCACCTTATGTCCCAAGAACCATTTACCAGTCACATTTGAAATGGGAAATGTGAGACCGTGCCTGCCCCCATTGTGGATTTTTCATTGAGAAATCATAGAAAGTTCCTCAAAAACGTTTCTTATACTGGAATTGGCAGTTTGTTATTGTAATGAAATTTTTATAACATGTACCCTATAGGATTTCTGCTGGGACTTATTGAAAAAAAGTTTGTTATACTGAAAAATTTGTTGTAATGGTATTTGTTGTAACAAGATTTTACTGTATACAGTACAGTATGAGAGGGGTTACAAGGTTCCGCGCGGATCAGCTCCTTAATGCCTTGAATAAAAGCAATGAATAGAAAAAAATTCAAATTTAAAATTCGAGGAACACACTGGCTGCAAAAGTTCTATTCGCAAGGAAAATAAAGTTTACAGTTGAATTCTTGAAAGAAATAAAAATCTTGAAAATACATATCTTTGCTGACAAGCAAAGGTGCAATTAACCTTAGTCTTTCACAAATCACCCCTTTCAACCAGCAGGAATTTTTTACGCTCCAAGTTGTAAAAATTACCAAGAAGAAAAACCCTGAGCTGCATTTTTGTCCCTCAACAGTCCAATTAATGATAAATTTCCATCATTAATTCGATTTTTTAATACCTCTCAAATTAGTTACATTACATTGCAGAATTGTAATGAGCTGGTGAATTAACTGACCTCACAACAGGTGCAGTCGACGTTGGCATGAGTGAAATTCGTGGCATGTAGTTGGAGTAGTCGGTGGCATACGTGCTTCTCGGACTTTCTCGATGAGTTATCAAATACGGACTCTTGACACTGTAAGAAAAAGGAGAATCAGGTCATATTTCAGTCAAAGTTGAAAATCGAAAATTTTCACGTGATATACATAAAACCTCACAAAAACAAAATCGCAGACAAACTTGTAACTACATATGTAAGACATCCAATTCAATTCGGAATAATATACATACATGCTGCTCGGAATTCTATTCCAGGAAAAGGGGGAAAAAACTTGCTCAAATATAGCAATTAATGCAATTTTTATGGTTTAAAATTTGTAATTGTTGTACATAAATTCATAATTGTGGTAAATTTGAAATTTTCCTGGATTTTCAACCAATGTAAAATTTTAAAGTCTGTAAATGCGTAATTTGTGTAAATTGTGAGTACAGTACTGTAATTTAAATGTTTACCCATTGAATTTTTGTAAAATTGCCATTTATATATAAATATTTTTAATTGGCATTTTTGTACAAGTGGAATTTTCTTAAAATTCTTGTGATTCTCGTAGAATTTTTATTTTCCGTAAAATTTCAAATGTTTGTCCTTATCNTTTTATTTTGTCCCCCAGTTCAAATTTTACTGGAAGGGAGCAATTCCCCCTCTCTTGTTTTTGCCGACTCGTCGTAATTTGTTTAAGTTTACAGCCCCGTTGGAGGGTTGACTAGCAGCTGCAGGCGCGTCCCGAGACGCGACAATTATTCTTGACGAATTTTAATCTTTGCTGGGTCTGTGTAGGAGAAAAAATTCCGCACAATATAAATATTCTGACAACTTTGATTTCAGTAGTGCCGCCCTCTTGGAATATTTTGTATATTTTCTGTGAAGCTAGCTTTTCCAAAAGCTTTTGTGGCATGTTTGGATGAATGATTATTTTCTGGGCATGCAGTGCTAAGAAAAGACGTTTTCTCAAATGATACAGCATATTTTGAAACCTTTGTTATCCCTGGAAACGTAGAGAGTTACGTGCGCCTCCTTTTAATCAGGGTTGGAAATGATTAATCACTGAAGTCTGTACCAGACAAAAATAGTCTTTATCTGATAACACAGTATTCACAATCAACCACAAGACACAGGGATCTGAGCCTTCTGAACTGTACTGTCTCCTGAGCTAAAATGCCTATCTTCCTTAATTCTGCCTGGGGTTTATATACCACAGGATTGGGGGTACATTCAGAAGGGGAGTAGGACATGCGCATGTGCAGGTATCATTTAATGATTGACACGCGCAGACAGGTATTGCGCATTTCAGGTGGTTGCCATGTGCTTGGGTTTATATGCGTGCATTGTCAGGGGTCTGAGTGTCATCAGGGTCTGTGCACATGTCTGTCAGTCTGTGTCTGTCAGTCCATGTGTACTGGGAAGGACAGGGATGGAAGAATATCAATATATATTTATATATTAATCTATTATCTCTTACTGGTGTTATGAATTACACCAAGTATCTATATTCGCTTCAACAGCAAATATTCTTGCAATATATATCAGGGAATTATTATATAATTTCCACCGATAACACCTTTTTGTTATGAAAATTACTTCATGAGTTTTAATTGAAATTGTGTATATTTTGGTACACAGTATATATCAGTACCTGAAAACCATAAATGTTTCATAGATGGAGATCATGCTTTAAAAATTTCGCATTGAGGATTTGATAGAGTACCTTTTCTATTCTTCAGTATGTTTTCTATAGCTAACATAATAAAATTCAAACTACAATTTCATTTCAGCAGGATACCTCAGGTGATTTGGTGCATGATTCAAAATTTGAGCCATCTTGCATTAGATGACCATATTGTGCAGCAATTGCAATGCAAAATTCAATTGACCCACACAATTTGAATTTTTCCAAGAAATGCTTGGATATAGCGTTCATGGATTTACAATTCTATTTGATCATGATTCCCCAATCCCAATGGCAATACATTTTAGAATCGTGCTTACTTGCAGTTACAGTTCATTCAAAACTGTTCTTTTCAATGCTTCAGTGGATTGATAGAAGTGTAGTATTTCCCCCTTTGTAATAACTTGGAACTGATTGTAAACACTTTTGCTCAATTCAAAAATAGTGTTTATCCAAAATCATATGTATGATTATAGATTCCTAATGCATATTTCAAAGCACAGGATTTTCCTTTCATTCTTCAGAATGTTGTGCATTGATCATTCATGCAGGTGCCTTGGCCTATGCTGAACTGGGAGGAGTAATTCCCAGAAATGGAGGAGAGTTTGTGTATTTCCTGGACAGCATGAAAGACCTGCACCCAGTTGCAGGTCCCCTTCCAGGGTTCCTCTTCATCTGGGTTAGTGTCCTCCTGCTGAAACCCTCTTCTCAGGCCATTCTCATGCTCACCTTCTCCAAATATCTGTTGTATCCCATTTGGAATGACCTGAGAGATGTAGACTTGAACAACCCTGAGTGCTCTGATATAAATGAGTGGAGCAATAGGATTGTGGCTGCTGCATGCACTGGTGAGCTTCACCTCTACCTTCTTTGCAAGAGCTTCAGCTTTCATTCTTCTCTGGTGTATTTTTGAGACTTTTCAAAATTCAATTTCATTGATTGATCTCAGACAGAAAAGGGGGTTTCTCCATCTTGCAAAAAGGACAGGGCTTTTTTCAATGAAGATGCAGTTTATTTTTTTCAAAATTAATCTCCACTGAACCTGGTCTGATTGATTTACATTGTTTAAAAAATCGTGTAATTTTAAAATTATGGTGATAATGCAGAAAAATTCCCACTTCCCCCCAGTGCTAAATTTAATTTTTCAGCAAGAATGTTCTGCTTCAAGAAAACATTTGGATCTCTTTAACATGGCTATAAATTGATCAGCATGAGTTCATTTTAACCCTCAGAGCTTAGACAGTGGAGTGTTACTTTCCATTGGGTGGTGGGGTGGGGTTTGGATTCTTGGGGTGGGGGGGGGTGGTTGTCACATTTCAGTTTTACCAAAAGTCACTGAAATGCTCCCAGGTTGAGGAGGCTAAAGTTGGTATTAATCCAGGAGATGTACTTTCTATTGTTTTGAGGGATCTCTAATGCTAATCCTATGCAATGAGTGCTGGAAGAATGCCACTCAGTGGAGGATTTTTCTTTTTTCCTGCAACATTTTGCATAGGATATCAGAAAAAATATTGGAATTTGTCCTGACTGAATCCATGGTACAAAACTAGGATTTCAAAAATTGCCATTGCTCTTGAGAACACAATTTTGCAGAAATCTCTACTTTGATTCACAATGGTGAAATCCGGTTGTCTGCTGGGGACCACCATTTTCAAAAATGACCTTGAAATTTTCAGCAAAGAGGGTTGAAAATTCCTTGAAAGCTGTGTTGATTTTCTTGTGATACAGTGCTGGTGGCCTTCATCAATTGTTACAATGTCAAGCTTGCAACAAGGGTGCAGAACTTCTTTACAGCTGCTAAGTTAGCTGCTATTGCAATCATTGTCATTGGAGGTATCTACAAAATTTCCCAGGGTGAGTGTGTCCATTCATTGTTTGTCTCACTTGTGTTGAATTCTTGGGAACTGATTAAAAGGCAATCACGGGAACTTGGCGGCGGATTTTGACAAGACTGGGGAAGTTGGTCAAATTGCGAGTGCATTTTACAGTGGTCTTTGGGCATATGATGGCTGGTAATCACACCAATTTCCATTGAGCTCAAAAATGAATAGGCTGTTATACTTGCCTCACTTTATTTCCACAGGAACAACCTCAATTATGTCACTGAGGAAATTGAGAACCCATATGTGTGAGTTATTTGAGCATATATAGAGATTAAAAACTTGGTGGGTATAAAATGATCTGCTTGTTTGCAGGAATTTACCAAGGGCCATCATGATTGCTTTGCCATTGGTGACCATTTGTTATATACTGGTGAACATTGCCTATTTGTCAGTTATGACCGCATCTGAGATCATTGCTAGCCAAGCAGTGGCAGTGGTGAGTGATTTCAAAATTTCCTTTGCTACTCAACACTTCTATATATATGTACTGAAATGTGCATATTTCCCGTTGGAAGTAGATATGATGGTATTTTGTATGATTGTAGAATTACAGTTGTACCCCAGTTTACGGACTTGATTAGTTCCATGGACTAGTCCTGAAACTGGGCAGTCCTTGAACCAAAATAGGATCCACAATAGGCTTACATATTGCATTTTTAATCTTGGCTTCAAAATTTCAAAGATTAATTTCCTTTCTTAAAAATTCAAAAATTTGTAAAACATTCACTTTTGAACTATTCATCAAATTTTGTCAAGTGTTGCAGGAGCAAATATGTTTTCTAAATGTTCTTACATTAAAGATTCAAAAATCTTGAAATTTGATAGAGGTACAAGCAAATAAACAAAATATCTTTAGAAAATCATACAAACACCCACAAAACCTACTTTTACTCTTTGAATTTTAGCTAATTCAGTTTCCAATGGTTTTTTGTGAAAAAATTCAACATTATCAAACAACAATGTGCATGACACCCTGCAAATAATTTTAAAGTTGCATCAAACGCAAAAAAGTTGGGATGTGCCAAACCAAAAAATTTGAATTCCTGTTTTTGTTCTTCTTCCCAAGTTTCCATCTTAAGACACAGTACTTGCCAAAACGGGAATTAAAGTCCATTTAAAACTGCATTGGAATGAAAGTGACATGACGTTCTGTACACTTTCCATTTCTTAAGCCTCAAAAAAAAAAATAGTACAGAGGTAAAAATCAAAATGTAAGAACTTTTCTAAATCACTTGTTCCAATATTCCATCTAAAATGTATGCAAAATTTTCTTCTTCACCAATCATGCAATTTTCAATGGGATTAGAGGTTCAGGGAAAATTTAAATGAGTGCAATGGCAGCAGATTTTGTGGGCAGAAATTTGAATCTGAAAAATATGTTCCATTTTCAGACGTTTGGTGAAAGAGTTTTGGGCAAGGCAGCTTTCATCATGCCTCTGGCTGTGGCTTTCTCCACATTTGGTGCTGCAAATGGATCTGCCTTCACAGTTGGGAGGCTAGTTTTCAATCCTTTGGTTCAGTAAATTATTTCTTATTAGCCATGGATATGTCCAATTATTAGGTTTAATAGTTAGCAATAAGCACCTGTGTACTGAGTTTGTTTTCCAGTTGTGTTCTAATTTTGTTTGAGCTTCATGAAGTTTTCCAATTACACATTAATGCATACAGTATAGTACTATACTTCAATTCTTTGTTAATATTCAATTTTTCATGTCCATTCCAAGGCTGGAATATTTAGAATGAGGCTCAGAAAGTCTCAAGTTCTAATACTTGATGTGGTAAAACTAATATTTCTCATTTCATTTGAAAATTTGTCTAATCCAAACTTGAATGTTTCCCACACAATATTGCTCTGGGCTTCAGTTTTGGAGATATCTTCAATCTCGCAAAATAAATTTTTCTGGGAAGTACATTGCTGATAAAAATCACCAGCAGGCATTGTTACTGCAGATAAAATCTGCACAAGGAATCAAAGGCCCCCGGTGCCTCAAAGAAAAAGAAGTTGTCCCACTTGGGGCATTTGTGGGGTCGCGTTCACGCGGCAACCCGAGCGTAGCATCCTTGCTCGGGTATACCGCACAGCAACTCCAAGACGCCAACCCGGAAGCGGATAGGGCACCCGGTTTACCGCATTGCGGTAAACCGGGTCAAGAACAAAGAAAGCCATTTCTGGCAGCGATCGCCGGCTCCCGAAGCCTGCGGGGCTTCGGGAGGAAGAATTATTAGATCTCGAGTGCTGCTACCGAGAGCGTGCGGATTTACCCAGCGGTGAATTCCTACTTGCGTCCTAGCGCGATTACGTGTACCTCTGAGTACTTTGTGTCCTTCTGTGGTTGTGTGTTTGGATAAAGCTGTTTACTCTAAAGGGACTCTGTTAAAGAGGATCCGGCCGTTAAAGGCTGAGTGACTGCGTTTTATTCTCT